GCCGCCACCGCCAGACCTGTTTCCTGTTGGGGGTGAGAACCGTCAGGGCAAGTGGGGGACACGGTGGCGACGCCTCCTCTCTCTGTGGCCCCACCCCACTCAGGGGGGCAGAGCTGGAAGGCACCAGCCCCTTGCGTGACGGTGCACCCAGGCCCCAGAGGGCCGGCCAGGGCACTGGGGCCAGAGCCGGGTCAGCAGCGGTCAGCCCAGGCCAGGGGGCCTAGGGGGTCCCCATCCTCTCTCCGCCCTGACCATCCACCCCGTGGCCCTGGGCCTGCGCTCCTTCAGGAAACGTTTGCCCGCAGGAATAATGACAACACAACGGCCTTCGAAGCCACCCAGGCCCTTGGCAAATGAGCTGAGTGATTCCGCCAACCCTCAAGGGCGCTAAGGGTGTCCCCATGTAGTTCACAGAGTCCCCCAGATGTGCCGGGGCCCATCGCTAAGGGGCTAGGTCTAGGACATCCAACCTCTGGCTCGGCCCGAGGTCCCCGCCGGCACCGTGCACACTGCTGGCGGTCGGACGGACACAGCCCTCCGGAGGAAGCCGCAGCTCTGGGGGAGGGGACAAAGCCAATGCCAAGTGTGAGTTCTGGGCGTCGGCAGCTCTGACCTTCCGGAGCCTGAAAGGCCCCGGTGGCCCTTGAGCGAGGCCTTGAGGGCAATGGTGTGTCCACGGCAGGAAAGATGGGTGACCATGGGCTCCTTCTTCCAAACCAGGTCACGCTCTCACAGCTTCATACCTTTTTTGGGGGGTGAGGTACCATTCAACCCACTACATAGAGACACCTCACCTGTAACCACCCTTTTTTTTAAAGATTTTTTTAAAAATCAGTTTTGAGAGAGAGGGGAAGGAAGAGGGAGAGAAACATCGATGTGAGAGTGAATCATCGGTCGGCTGCCTCCAGGGGCTGAGCCTGTACCGGGGTGTGTGCCCTGACCAGGAATGGAGCCAGCGGCCTTGCGGTGCAGGGCACAACACCCCGACACCCACACAGCTGACCGCACCAGCCGGGGCCGCCTGTGACCCCGTGAGAGCATATAGGGTGTTAGGCGCCACGCTAACAGGGCTCCCCCACACTCGCTCACCGCCCTTCTGGGACGTGACGGTCACGTCCTGCCTTAGAGAGAAGGACAGCGAGGCTCAGAGACCTTCGGCAGCCGCCCTGAGGGGGACAGCTTGGAAATGGTGGGGAAGGTTCCGGCCAGGCTGTGCTCTGCCTCCAGGACCCAGCATCGGCCTCTGTGACAGAACCACGCCTGCCGAGGGACACAGGGGCTCCCGCTGACGGACAGGCATCGGGAGGGCCCCGCGGGAGCCAAGGTCAATTCAGCGGCCCCGAGAGCTGGTGTGCGTACCCAGCCGCTCACACACACCGCAGGGCCGAGGCCAAGGTCACCCGGCAGGTTCCCCGTGGGGGGAACGAGAGAAGCCATCAGGCCGAGAGCGGAGAGGACGGCACAGCCCGGAACTCGGCAGGTGACACGGCCACCCCACGGCCACCTGGCAGCGGCCCCGCAGAGGACCCCAAGCCTCAGCTGTGCCCCGGGCCTCCCCTCCGCCCCCTCCGCCTTCGAATAAGAAGAAGGTGGACGGAGTCGCTTTTTATCTCCGGTTGGGCTGGGCCTGCCGAGCAGGGGAGCCGCCAAGGAGGTGGGGTGGGGACACCCTCAGGGGGCCTGCACGGTGAGGGGCCACCCCAGGGGGCCCCTACGCACGGCCCCTTCCATTTTTCAAGCCATTTATTAGAGTCAAATACACATAACAGAAAACCAGCTGTGTAGCCACGTGTAAGTGTAAAATGCAGTGGCTTCAGGACTTTCATTGTTGTGCAACCACCGCCACCACCATCATTTCCAACATTTCCGCGCCCGGAGCAGAAACTCTG